GCCGTACGGCGCGGGTGATCTGTACGGGCGCGGCCGTATCTTATGTTACGTATCGTAGCTAAGCACGACTTGACACTGTCCACCACGGGACCCGCCCATGTTGACGGCGTCGCAATGTACTCATTGATTGACTAGTGCTGCGCGACTGCTCGGAGTTGACCAGTTAACGTTTTGTAGGCTTTATTATCACTGGCGGAGGCGTGGGGACTGGGGAGTGTTTTCTATTCGTTAGTGTTTGCCGAGGCGAGGCTGCTTAATGCCGATTGTGACATGTTACTATGCATCCTCACGTGAAGTCGTCGGGTTATCTAACTTGGTTCATCAATAAATGGTGCGACCTACAAAGTGACAATGAGATGAAAACGACTGAGTCATCTTTATGGAATAATGTCTGTGACGTATGTGAAAGCAGGTCATATTGGTGTGCAGGTCATACGAGGTCAACTGAGGTCACTGACCCAGGACTAAAACTGGTTATCCTAAGATAACTCTTAACGCTCGCAATACACTCGTTTTTCCGCGAAGCTCTAACTCCCATCAGGGGCCCGAACGGCGGCGGGCGGGGTTCCAACGTACCTCCGGCACCTTCACCCGCACACCGCACACGGGCGAGAGTTCAGACAAATCAGAGGTCACTGGTCCTTTTAACATGTCAGGTAAGTGATTCCTTTCTGGGTACGTCAAAGGTCAATGACCCACATGACGGAGGTCAGAGGCCCGTGACGCGTCATTCATCTCAGTTCAGGTCAGATCTGAGTTAGGAGATGTGAGAGCTCAAGTTGAAGTGACACCTATGGTTAGCGATCTTCGGGGATAGGTCGAATGTGTGTGACCTGTAGGTACTAGAAAAGATTAGAGGTCATTCATCCACCAAGGGCTTATATCAGGGGTCACTGGCCCGTTATGAAGATAGGTATGAGGTCGAAGACTCGTAATCCATCAATAGACATTAAACGGCCACTATCTATGAAGGAAATAGTAAAATCGATCGATTTGTAAAGGAATTGCTTCATTTGGAAGCATGCAGTTTGTTTACATTTTACGCGTCAATTATGTCATTGATGCGCCACAATACCTACCTGTCAGCCATATTGGAATACAAATGCTCGTTTTCTAAATACTCATTCTGGCTTTTCTAAGGCTTGCCGAGCTTAGAAATTTTTACCATTAAATTCAGAAGACAAAGTTGAGGGGTGATTTACGTTTTAACAAAAATTGAAGGGGTCCGCTCTCAAATGACCTTGACCTTTGACCCCTCATATCTCAGCCTCCAGAGCTTGCCGAACTTAGATAATTTAGGATATTAATGAGGGTGTCTAGATGTATCAGTTCACAAAAATTCATCAAAATCTGAGGGGTCCGCTTTAAAATGGGTCACGTGACCTCCACGTGGCTGCAACCTTTGACCTGACCTAACTTCTAGGTCAGGGCTTGCCGGGCTTAGATTTTATGCCCATCGTGCTCAGCATGTCAATTTGCATCTGTGTGCAAATTTTGAGGTAATTCTGAGGGGTCCGCCCTTAATGACCTTGAACTTTGACCCCTAATATCTCAGCCCCCAGGGCTTGCCGAGCTTAGATAATTTTATTCTGTGATGACCAGGTCATGCTGAGTGGCTGGTGTAAATTTGGTGAGATTCTAAGGGGTCCGTTTTTATCATTTTTTCCATCGAATATGAATTTCGAATCTGAATTTGAATTTGAAGCTAAGTATATAAACGTTCTGTCGGCTGGGAGCCAGGCGGCTGCTCCCGGTACTCTGCCCTGCTCCCGTACTCTACCCAGCTCCCGCGCACGCCCTCTCTCTCTCTCTCTCTCTCTCTCTCTCTCTCTCTCTCTCTCTCTCTCTCTCTCTCTCTCTCTCTCTCTCTCTCTCTCTCTCTCTCTTTTCTCTTGTTTCGCGCCCCTGAGTTACAGCCTCATGGAAAAAGCTGAGCGTTTGGGCCGTTACACAAATCACATAATGGTACCCAACTCTGAGGCCTCAGGCCAAAGGCTCGGTAGGCTCCAAGGCAAGGGTTTGGTCTTTGGTAAATAGCTTCGCCAAAAATAATCGCAGCGTTATGATTGTAGCACCATTGTGTCCGATGATCTACTTTTGATCTATGAAAGATCAGCGTGGATGTTGATCTCAGGTCAAGGTCAGGTCAAAGCCGTTCGGGTCACGAAACTGGTCGAGGAGGTCATGCTGCATATCTTTCGATTCTTCAGGTCTTTCTGATTTCACCTACCGCTTTTCCGACCCGCTAGTCTAATTTGACTTACAGACGAAAAACACCTAAATCGTCCTATAACATCAAGCGACCTTGGTCTCATGTGACATTTATAAAGCAGTGCAAGGTCAAAATACACAATTTTAGCACCTAGTCCTGCTAAGAGTGTACGAATGTACGATTCCATGTGGTAGGAATAGCTTTAGGCTGTTTCCAGTGCGCTGGCCCCCTTCTTTAAGTTCCGTCACTTGATGTGAATTAGTGACCTAGCTCGATAAACCATAGGTTTGAAATTTTCATACTTGCGGTAAATTATACATCATAAGGTGTGCTTAGAACCCGAGGAAGAGTAGCTCCCCCATCCACCTATACCTACTATCCGTAAGTGTCAACCGCCACTGACAGCTTCGTAACATAGCGAAGGCTTCAAAACTACTTCGTGAATGTTCAAATGGGTGTAAATTCGAAATCAGCTCCAAAAACCCTGGCAACAAGCAGCACTCGATAAAGTGAATTAAGGTCATCAAAGGTCAGTTACCTTGACCTGACCTTCACGTGACCTTGGCACCCACCATAATGCATGGGGCCAGCATCATTTCATATGTTTGATCATTTACAACCACAAAAAGACTGGAAATGCGCGGATAATGTGAGCCGGCATACGTCGAATCGCGATGCCGGCCACATATGGTCTCGAGAAACAGGTAACAGGTCAAAGGTCATTTGGGACAGGGTCATGACATTTTTAGGGTAGATGTAAAATTGATTAAAGGGACCCTCCCACCTTCAAAAAAGTTAATGAATTGGCATGAAAGTGATGTCCCTTGGTTCAGAAAGAGCGAAAACGAATATCTACCAAATTTCACCGAAAAATATTCACTGGTTTTCAAGATATTAGGCTTTTACTTTTGTTTACTTTTTGGGATCTCCCCTGTTACTAGCGACTTTATTTGGAAGCAATAATTTGGCAGCCCTAAAGTGCGGCAGACGTTGCGCGCAAAGCAGCGTATACCACCACGTGTTAACGATGGTTTTAGTCTAAGATTTAAAAATCGTTAGATCTCCGCTGACGTCACAAATTCTAAGGGGGCATTCCAATGCATTAGCCCCTTAGAATCCGAAAACTGCAAGTTTGAAATTTCATATCTTCGAATTAAAGCATTTTTCGATGTTGTGAGTGTCCAAACCGGTATTTGCAGGTCATGGCCACCAATTTGGCTATCTCAACTCAAAACTAATGTTAAGGTGGGAGGGTCCCTTTAACGCGAGGGTAGGTAGTAGGTACTGAAAGTTTCGTCGCGATCGGCCGCTTTTTGACTGATTTGTTTGCCAAAGACCGCGGGAAGGGGTCCATTCGTCCACTTCTCTGTAAGCGCGAGGGTTAAAGGTATATACCACCGCGTAGTGTCAATAAATGGACCGGAAAGAATATCCCAGGCTTCTCAAACAGCTACTCTTTTTACCTGATGGAAACAGTCACCGCACTTTCTCAAACCTCTTCGTGACTTCGGACTCAACGTTAGGGGAGAGTGGGGTAAGATGCCCAGGGTGGGAAAGACGCCCCACCCCCTCTAACGGCAAAACAAAAAATATTACCTGGAAATTAATGTTTTTAGCGTAAAGCGGAAAACTTCCTTGTTAACTGCACAAAAATTTGCCAAGCTCAGTTGGTCAACGGTGGGCTAGGCTAGTGATTGCTTGTTTTATATGTGCTGCTTTCAAAAAATATTTTAGTGTCAAAACATTGTGAATATCAAAGAAATTGTAAACAAAATTAAGTCCCTTGCTATTGTCGTGATACATTTATATGAGTGTACTTTGTCCCAACTAGTTGTTTCAGGGTGTAGTTTTAGTATTAACAAGTTTCTGATTAAATGTCAATTCGGTACCTTGGGGAAAGATACCCCCTGACCTGATGGGGAAAGACGCCCCCCTAAATCCTTCAAGGAACTCATCGGATCATTTAGTACATACTTGTGAAGAGAGACAAAAGCCGATTTGGGACCATCATGAGAGTCCAATACGGTCAGGTGCTCGCCATATCGGTCTCTTGGCCCATACGCCGATTTTTTGGGCGGCATCTGACTCTGAGAGCCCTCACAGTCACGACGGTATCTGTGGGTCCCATTATTGGTTCCGATGCCCCTTACGACACTCTTTGAGAGCTCCCACGCTGACCCCACGGGCCGCGCTGGCATCTGAGGTCCCCACGATGGTCTTGAGGGCCCTCAGGCCTCAAGTCTCATTAAGACCTAATAAGGGCCCCACAACGGTCTCCGAACGTCACCACGGAGGCTTGTTTGGCCGCGCTGGACTATGATGGCCCTCACGATGACCTCTGAAGCCCCTCACGACGACTTTTTAGGGCCCTTATGATGGCGTTTAAGTGTCTACCGCAGGCTCGAGTGCAACTGATTCGTTCAGGCAATTCACGTGCCCATTTTTGTCACTTATAGTGCGGAGGGGCATCTTACCCAACCCCAGGGGGCGTCTTTCCCACCCTCTGGGGTAAGATGCCCCCTTTCACTACTTCAGGAAAATGATCAATAACAAAAAAGTTATAACATTTCAAGCACAAAAGTGTGGTATTTTGTGGATAAAAATGATGTCGGCTACCATTGAAACTCCAAGTTTTTGCTTTCCGATTGTCATTTTCGAATAATTTATGACATTACAAACCCCTGGGCATCTTTCCCCACTCTCCCCTACTGAAAACGATCTCTGAGCGAACGACGGTCTCCGCCATTTTCCGCTGTTCTCTTTTGACACCTCTCGTACCGGTATCTTATACCTACCGACCAAAAAAGCATTCGTAGGTATCCCTCGCTGATAGTTTACCTTACCCGTTTCAACACAAAGTTGAAGACAATTATTCACCCATAAACCCACCGCGGCGACCATATTTTCGCCTCATATCAACCACAAAATCACCCCCTACCTCAACATGTGTGTCGTTGCCCCCCATAGTTCTTATCCTCGCTCCGCCTCTACACCCCCTCTCTCCCTCCCTCCACCCACTTCGGGGCTTGATAAACCAAACACTACACCATTGCGCTGTGGTCACACCACATGCGCGAACGGTGTCCCCACAGCGTACCGCGTGCTGCACTGGCGCGACCATGACGCGTCAACGTGAACCCACCCTAACCCCTCTCGCGACCTTGACCTTGCTTCTGGTCTTCGCTATGACCTCGCAAGTGACCTCTGCGCAGTACTCTCCCACTTGGAAGTCCCTCGATGCGCGACCGCTTCCTTCGTGGTATGATGAAGCAAAAGTGGGGATTTTTCTCCACTGGGGTGTCTACTCAGTGCCAAGTTTTGGTGATGAGTGGTTTTGGACCCGCTGGAAGGACCCGTTCGACCCGCAGCACGCCAAGTTCGCCGAGTTTATGAAGAAGAATTATCGTCCGGGATTCACGTATCAGGATTTTGCTGCGCAGTTCACGACGGAGCTGTTTGACCCCGACCACTGGGCTGATCTGCTGCAGAAATCTGGTGCCAGGTGAGATACCGGGGTTTGGTGCTTGGTATCGACGACTCTCTCCAGTCTCCATGCTGCATTACATTTTTTTTCGAGGTAGTAAGAAAAATGCTATATATTATTATTGTGACATCATAACTAAACAATAGTTAAACCGATGAAATATTCTAGCTTTAACGCTTTGTGACGCTATCAGATAATGAATTTGTCATTAGAATGCAAACACTCGCCTACAACTGCCGTCATTTAAGCTTCTAGTTCTCAGTCTCGCAATTAACAATTGATCGGCGTTGCCATGCTAGCTGAGAAAATACCATTTAGTCCGTGTATCTTCATGGCAAGAAACAATCCACTCTCCGCTCTTGAATACTTTGTTTCAGTAGTCATTTCCGTAGTTTGATTGGCACGTCAAACATCTTCAAGCTGGCGTTCTATGCACTCCCCCGTTGGTTTTCAGACCTTCAACTCTCCCAGTAAGTCGCGCTGAAATCAAGACACATTATTTGGGCGTTCACATATCACGACACAAACGTTTTTTTATTTCTTCTTTGTCCCCTGCTTCCTTCGGTGCTCGGCTAATCGCAGCTCGTCGTGACAGTCGTTTCTCGTTTCTTCAGGTACGTCGTTCTGACATCCAAGCACCACGAGGGCTACACCCTGTGGCCCTCTGCTGTCTCCTGGAACTGGAACTCGATGGACGTTGGACCCAAGCGTGACCTCGTCGGCGACCTAGCCTCTGCCGTGCGCAATCGCACCGACCTCCGCTTCGGCGTCTACCACTCCCTCTACGAATGGTACAACCCGTTGTACAAGAACGACCGCTACTACAACCGAAGCGACTTCGTGACAATGAAGACGATGCCGGAGTTGAAGGAACTGGTGGAAAGGTACCATCCGGAGGTTATCTGGTCTGACGGAGACTGGACTGGCATGCCCGAATACTGGCGTTCCCAAGAGTTTCTTGCGTGGCTCTACAATGATTCTCCGGTGAAGGAAAGTGTTGTGACGAATGACCGCTGGGGGTCGGGAACAAATTGCAAACATGGCGGTTACTATACCTGCCACGACGGTTACAACCCTGGTACCCTACAGGATCACAAGTTTGAGAATTGCTTCACACTCGACGGCGCTTGGGGATATCGGCGAGACTCTCCTCTGGCCAGCTACAAGTCTATTGAAAATACCCTCTACCAAGTGATCTCCACCGTAAGCTGTGGAGGTAACGTGCTGATCAACGTCGGACCGACCAAAGACGGAATCATCATGCCCATCTTCGAAGAACGCCTCACGCAGCTAGGAGAATGGCTGGGTCTAAACGGAGAAGCCATCTATTCCTCCAAGCCGTGGACGGTGCAGCATGATCCAACCAATAGCGACGTATGGTACACGCAGCGAGGAGGATATGTCTACGGCATTTCTCTCAAGTGGCCCACGGATGGGTTTATCACGATGGGATCGGCACCCAATGTGACTGAGTGTCGTCTGTTAGGGTATGATGGGGTGCTGGAGGTGGAGAACGGGAGGGTAATGCTCCCTCCCCTGCAGAAGGTGAAGAGCCAGTGGGCCTGGGTGTTTAAGTTCGAACCCTGAGTAGAAAACAGGCTGTAGGTCAACGATGGGTAGCGAGCGAATGAAGATGTGATGCTCTAGAACTTACAACGTAATCTCCACGATCAAATGTTTATATGAAAGAGACGTGAGAGATCAACAGATAAGATATCGTGCAAGATGTAAACAAGAAGTGCTGCCAAAAAAAGAAGCTTATGTAAAATCGCCAAAGTTCCTGAAAATAAAAGGTGTTGAACGATGAAGAAGAGTAAAAAATAAGTGGTGTCATCATTTGAACTCAGTTGGCGAAACAGAATATAACAAATCGCTTGCTGAGATGGATTGCTAAGATTGTTAGGCTAGGTTAGTTTAGGAGGTTAGATTAGGAACAACGGAGGCCCATTACCACTGAGGAGCACTTACACTATCGAGCCCTTCAACACAAACAAAGTATCGCCTTATCGACCCAACAAGGCTCGTGATACATTATCAGTCAAGGACAGAGCACCCCAGCAATCGTCCGATAAGACACTGCTGTGTGCACTGCTTATTGACGTTAGGAGTTAAGAGTCCCACTTTCCACAGACACTTTGCTAACGGAGAGTAGGGTAGAGCCAGGGTAGAGCATTGTTATTATAACGGTCGCCGACGCCGAGGACGTCACCGGGAACAGCTACAGCGTGGCCCTGACGGCCCCCGACCGCGTCACCTTCATCAAGGGAACCTGCCGGGATGAGTCTCGCTGGTGGATGGATGCGCTGGATGTCTACACTACGGCCATGGTCAAGGTATAGTCACCAGTGGTGTCAATTACGGAAAATCGGAATACCGATACCAAACCAAATACCAACCAAAACCGTGGAGAAATACCGAAACCAAACCAACATGAGGAAAATACCAACTTTTTACCGATTTCTTAGCCTCTTAAACATTAGCGAGGGTTCATGATACCAACAAAATACCAAACACATTAGGATTGAAATACCAAATACCGAGTTGGTATCGGTTTGGTATCGGTATACCAAATAGTTGGTATCCGATTGACATCTCTAATTGTTATGCTGACTTACTAAACCATAACCACGGAGGGAGGTCATAAATTAATTTCAGACAGAATCAGTTCATTCAGCTCGTAAAAATTCTGCTTCAGTAGTCATGTCCTTAGTTTGATTGGTATGTTTTTGACATTCCGTCTTTTTTCGCACATCCCCGCTGGTTTTGAACCCTTCTATCCTCTCCAGGCACGTTATGCTTTCACCCAAACACGTCGAGAGGTTTCCGACGACCAAACACAGTGTTCACAGAGTTCAGACCACATTATAACAACTATGACCAAGCTATACGGAGAATGCACAGCCGAAATGTGGATGAGCCTAATCCTATAACAAAAAAAGAAAAGAAAAGAATAACAGGATAGAAACACGACATACTGGGCACTTCAATTGACCACCCGTTTGCATCAAACGTTTCTCTAAGCCCGAGTTTTAAAAACCCCTTCCGAGCAGCACTGAGGCAGTAGTTATCAGCGTCTACAAACCATTGATTCGGTTGTCGTGTATTTGGTCATGTCTGGCACAGTTGATTGGTACGTCCACCAGTAAGAACACATCTCATACGCATGGCCAATGAGCACCTTGTAATCTTGGAATAACTTTCACCTCGTAAGACTCTCACACGAATTTAACGATAATGGTAACAATGATTAGCATAAAGCGAAAAGCAGGCCGAAAGTGAGATGAAATCAACATCTCATCGAAAAACCATTACATTTTAAGCATTGCTTACAAACAAGCTATGCATGTCAATAAAATATTGCAGTACTTCAAATATTGCACCTCGAATGAAATGAAACTTAGTGATGAAGTTGAGTTGAGACATCTACCTTCGGGTAACTCAAATAAAAAAACAATTTGTCATACAAAGAATAAGAAAAATGTGCAATAACGTTTCACATCCATGTGAACAAAGGCCTTATGGATGTTGCCAACAGTAAGGACACTTGGAATGTAGCGATATCAATATTTTGTAAACACGAAAAGGCACGGTGCTTTCACTCTCAGTTCACACTCAGAAGCGTCTAGAACTTTTCCACAAGAGCCAACTTATCATTTTATATCACAGCAAAATAAACAGCATCCTATTCTAGCAAACACGCAGACGAAACACAATGTAATTCGGAAATAAAATCCCACCCAGACACAAATTGCGGCAAACCACACTATACATATATAGTATGCTCTGCCTATTTAACGATGGCATATACTTCGAAGAGCATATGCAAATCCAGGACAAGACAAATATTTTGCAAAATTTTGAAAATTGTCATGATATACCGGATAATATGTACTTTACAGAATTTCCACGTGCATTTTTTCCAACGCATTTGAAGCGATATACCATTATTAAATAAGCAGATTCAAGGGATGAACAACGGATGAAGCTTGGAAGAATTTCAAAGCACACATTTTGGGTGAATTATTTCAAAAGGAATGCATGCAATTCGCACTAGGAATGGCGAAACTGGCACGCACCACACAAACATGAAATTGGGCTGTCAGTACACTAGTCAGTACACGCGATTTATTGTTTCTATGCGAAACTTGGCTAGCCAGTTCAGAACAATGTATGTTGCCTAGGCTGCTTCTTGAACATCGCCAAGGCAATTACTTTTGTGTACAAGAATCAGCCATGGAACACCCGCCTGGTCCCTATGCTGGTAGACGACACGGAGGGGTAGCATTTATTTGTCGCGGTCGCCCTGGGCTGCGCTACCGCCAAGTACTGTGTGAAGATGTAAGGCTATGTGGTGTCACTGTATATGATAATTCGGGTCCTTGTTTGACGGTAATTGGGTGTTATATGCCATTCTGGGACTCGACCAGTGACAGCAAATTACGTTACGCTGAATTGCTAGGCAAACTAGATGCAATTATTACCGCATATCGCTCTGCATCCCCTGTGCTTCTTGTAGGGGATTTTAACTGCGCCTTACCAAGATTGGCCAGTGTTCACAGGCCTAACGGCTGGCAGAATTTGCGTGGTTTCTCACCACTCAGCGCTCTTATGCAGGAGCTACTTGATGATCACCATTTGGTTGTGTCCGAATTCCAGTTTCCTCAGAAACAGTCTGTCACTTATGATAGGGCAGGTGGCTCCTCACACATTGATCACATTGTTGTGCCACAGTGTTTGCTTCCATCTCTAACGAATTGTATGATTCTTAGCTCATCAATTGATAACCTCAGCCCTCACCTTCCAGTCATTGCCACATTAAGTCTACATTTGCGACTTGCTGCTGTATCTTGCCTTCCAGTTCGCAGATTTGATCCCTCTGTCCTCTCTTATGTCCCTATTTGGAATTCTGAAGAAGCTATTGACCATTATAAAACGTTACTTGCGACTTACTTGGTAGCTTCGCCACAATTAGGCAGCTCTATAGAACTGGATAGATTAGATACATTTATCAGCTCTTGCATTCATGCTGCAGCTCGTGAATCTGGGTGTGCAAAGCCGAGACGTCCTGCTAAAAAATGGTGGAACCCCCGCGTTTCCTCAGCGCGTGATAGAGCCCGGTTTTGGCTTTACCTCTGGCATGAATCTGGTAAGCGGCTATACACGCATGTGCACAACTGCTATCGCGAAGCAAGACGGGCCTACCGGCGCGAGCGGAAGCATGCGTCTCGATCGAAAATTGATCATGAGGCACGGCTGTTACACAAGCTTCGCCGTGGGGAAAGTTTAGGCTCCTTTTGGCGACATGTTAGTAGAGCTCGGAGAGGTGTGACGGTTGCTGAATGCTCCGTAGACGCAGACAGCTTCAGATCCCATTTTTCTCGTATTCATCAGGACAATGTAGCTGAATTGTCACCAAACCAGCACTGGATCCGCGATGCTGTATCTGCTCGTTTAGAGGCTGGGTGCAATGGTGACGAACCTCGTATTGTTACCGCATCGGATGTTTCCCGATTTATATTGCGCCTTAGGCGTAATTCTGCTCCAGGAGCAGACGGAATCACCACAGAGCACCTGCTGTATGGCTCCACGCCTGAACTGCTTGCCATGTTAGCTCACCTCCTTACAGCTTGCTTTGCTAGATTGGATGTCCCTTCATCATTTGCAACCAGCATCATCAAGCCTTTGCTTAAAAGAACTGGACTTGACCCAAGTGATATGGACAATTATAGACCAATTTCACTTATTTCAACTTTCTCTAAATTGTTAGAGATAATGGTTTTAGAGGAAATTGAAACATCGTTCGTTCCACACGATCTACAGTTTGGATTTGTTCCACAGCGTGGAACAGCCGAAGCCTCTCTTTTGTTTTCTGAGACTGTCCAGTGGCACCTAAGAAGGGGATCTCCTGTATTCGTCGCTAATTTAGACGCCAGAAAGTGTTTTGACCGCATTTGGCATGACGGTCTTTTCTATCGTCTTCTTAATCTGCTTGAGAATCGCTCGTGGTGTCTGCTTCTCTCGTGGTATCGCAAGCTTACTGCCAAAATTGACTTTATGGGCATTCGTTCCGACAGTTTCCCACTAGAACGTGGAACGAGGCAAGGGGCCATCCTTTCCCCAGTACTGGCTAACATATTTTTTCGTCCCTTAATACAGACTCTTGATCATAGTGGACTTGGGGCTGAACTAATGGGATATCATGTCCCCTCGATCTGTTACGCTGACGACATAATGCTTGTTTCTACGAACTCCATGAGTCTTGGCCATCTTTTAAGCATTGTGGGGGAGTTCGCGGGCACTTGGAGACTTGAATTCACTCACCCTGATCAGTCTAAAACTAAAAGTCATTGCCTTGTCTTTGGTGCTGAACATTTAGCTGAGCTGCCTACATGGCAGTTAGCCGGTCAGCAGTTATCTATCCGCTCTGAAACACAGCATCTAGGTGTGACCATCAGCACTGATTTACGTGGCTCCGCGCATGCGCGGTCTCGAGTAAGACGTGCCCGTGGAGCTTTTTACGGGCTTACACCTGCAGGAATGTTTAGCAAGGCTATGTCTGCTTTAGACAAAGCTTTTCTATGGCGCACGATTGTAGCCCCTTCTTTGACATCTGGGAGCATCGTTGCTCCACTGAGAGCTGCTGACATAAGTAACCTGGAATTATTTCAATCTTCTAGTATAAAGGCAGTCATTGGGCTCCCTGTGTATGCTCATCATTCTGCCCTAATGTCAGCGCTTGGCATTCCTAAGGTTCAAGAGCTTCTCCGATCGCTTACGCTTCGCGGCTTTGCTCATCTGTTTCGCTCGGATCATAGGCTTAAGCAGATAATGATTCGCAGCCTTGCTGTTCTAGCTACTACGCCTTCAGAGTTAGACGGATCATTCTTGAGCTTTACACATAGCCTCGGAAATAATAATTTTGAAGTTACAATGAACATAGCATGTGGCAATATTGATGGTGAGCTTATTCGTGGCTCTTGTATGAATGATGGAATTGTGGACACAATCAAATTCCTGCTCAACAGCACTTGCTCTCATTCGCGTAAAATTCTTAGGCTCATAACAGTCACAAATGAAAGCACCAGGCACACAACTTGAACTAAAGTATAGGTACTATCGATGGTTTTAGAATGTCCAATGATTGGCTCTTGTGAATGTCCTTGCGTGGCCTAGCATTGTTCTGCAGGCATTAATGTATGTACCTACCTGGCCCAATGTATATGTACTGCTACTTGTTATAACTGTCACCTCACCTTGTCACCTCACATTGTGTGTGTGATGCAAATAAATGTGATGTGATGATGATGACTAGGACGCCCCAGAAAATGTGACGTGCCTGGATTATGACAATCCGATTTTTTCAACATTATAACAGAGATACAACAATTATTTATCATAGTAAAGTAGCTTCCGGTAAATGATTCAGAGCTGGAGCGGAGTAGTATTGTTTTGGTAGGCAATGTTTTGTTCCGATGAGATCTTTTATGCAGCATGTTTACATTCATGAAAGTAAACTCATTTAAAATCGTTGCAAGAAGAATGAATGGATGGTTCCATCAAATCAATGACATTATTTCATATCCATTTTGAGAAAAAATGCTCTCCATTAGATCGAAGGGAAGAAATAAGTGTGCAGGTGATTTGAGTCATCAAATGATTATACTCAAATGACTGAAATTCGCAACAAATGTCACATTCAACTTCGAGCTTTTTGGTCCCCTGGACTGCCGTGCATCGCAAGAGGTTTATCATGTAATATGAAGCCAACGAATGATCGCTTGCGGCCTTTCCAAAACCAGCTCCAACAAATGCAACAATAAGGTAGGCACTAGGCACCATTCGGCATTCGTCACACAACTAAAAGTCACAAACCAAAACCAACTTCACGTTCTTTCAAACTTTCCCAAACTATTCCCACTTCATCCCCACAACTGGACATCATCCCTTGGGAGCCCAAGGTCTCTTTTTAACATCTTCACACCCAAGTCGCCCTTTATGTAGAGGCCGTAAGGCGAGGTAACCTTAAAGGAAATAGTTCACTTTCCTGAAATTAGTATTTTGCTATGGATTTATGTTTTTTTATGCTCAAAATGATCAGAAAATAAAACAAAACGTTTTTGTAAAAAGGATTATTTTCTATATTTTAGTATAAGAAGAACTATATTCTATATAAAATAATGTTTGACGCGGAAGCTTATTACGCGTTGACCAATCATATTGCGTAGGACAAACCCATCGGCTGTAAGCAGCATTCTGATTGGCTGACGATGACGTGACTGCATTTCTCCGCAAGGCACGCATTCCTCTGCAAGGCACTCTTTTCGGAACGAAAAATGGAATATCTTCGTCTAGGGTGATCGTTGGGCCGTGAAAACTTCTGATTTGTGCTAGTCTCAGCGCAAGCAACAAAACTGCTATTCCAGTTCCAAACCCCATGTTAAAAGTGAACTATTTCCTTTAAGTCCATCCCAGGACGTCATGTTCCGGCAGATGACGCAGCAGCTGTGGTCACCGCTAGCCGAGGCCGACATCCAGACACATCATGATGAGGAAACCGACGATGGCAGCCCAGGAGGCCAGGCGACCGTTCCCGCTGTGGAGGAAGAGCATAGTGAACTTCAGAGCGTGACGAGGAGTTGAACATGTCGAGTGGTTGAACACAGCGACTCATGCACGGGATGGGTGCACGTTCTAACATAATGAACTTCGAAAGGTTTAGCATTGTGAATCGAATGTCGGAGCCTTATGATCTTTTGATCGTAGTAAGCTGGTAAACGAAGTAGAAAGTCAGCACATCCTAAACAAAAAATAATGAACGTTAGATGCCTAAATAATGTGGTGATCCAGCATTCAGTCTAACATCAGCTCTAACCGTAAATGAACGACCAGAGCTTTTCATGTAATAGGAAAAACTTTTGCTTGCTAACATCACTTGCGTCTTATTATTTTCGTTGCATTCAACATCGTATTCTCCGCACAAATGTCACGCCTCGTCTGTATGTGCACCCTATGGCGTCATTTTACCTAATGACGTCAGTTCTACTCACCACGTCTGCGCCTCGGGCACAATATCGTCAAACACCACGTATATCATGGCTCCAGCGGCGAAACTGAGAGCATACGGTAGGAGCGGCTCTGCGAGTGAGACGGCGACGGCCCCTAGCATTCCGGCGGCGGGCTCCACCATACCGCTCAGCTGCCCGTACCTGAGGGGGGGGGGGGGGGGGGGGTGAGAAGAATGAGAGAAAAACATGGCAGGTAATCAGAAGAGGAGAAGAAAAAGGTGAGGGGTCAGTGAGCTATCACAAACCGTTTCAACAAACTAAGCTCACGTACTGGACAAACACCACCTTCTTTCTATATCACCATGATCGCATAGTGGTTCTGTTTCGATGCGCCCTAAGCCCCAGCAAACTAACAATTCTCTCACCAGATTGAAAAGACAATCCCAGTCCACAAATATCCCTTCCCCTGCTTTCTTACTTCCTCCAAAACCAGCTGATCTAAGTCTCGTCTCTATTCTGAAGCAGCCCGCAGTCACACTCACCAGAAGGCCTGCCGGCTGGACATGCCCGCCCCTCGCAGGGGTAGACTGACCGCCAGTCCCTCAGGGAAATTCTGAATGCCGATACCGACTGCTAGATTCCTGAAGGGGAAAGAGAAGGGAAAGTCAGTAAATGGAAATATCTAGGGGAATGGTGGGGCAAGAGGGAGAGTCGGTCGGGAGAGGAAAATTATGTTCGACGAGTGTCATTGAAAAGTGGGTGCAGCTGGCATCATGCGAACGAGCCGGAAAATGGTTTGGTGGTAAGTTTTTCTGTCTTGTCGGATTAATTTCATTCATAAAAAATACTGTTGTGTTTTAAAAAGTCTATGACCTGATCTAAGCCATCGAATTCATGAGAAATTAGGTGATCGCATAACAATAATTAGACCGCGTAGCATGTGGTTGTCGCCCTTGTCATCACATTTCGCTAAGGTACCGGTGCTTCGGGTACATTTCTAACAGCTCGCCAAGCCATCAACTGTCAATTAAAAAATTCAAGGTATTCAACATCCATTGCTCATGAGTTTTCGTTTTTAACGGACCTCATTACCACCCCCCCCCCCCTCCCATCACCCTGCCTCCGCCCTTTGTCACCGCCCCTCCCTCCCGCCGCCTGGCGCCGCCACTGTCCGGGGCGCGCGGTAACGGCCTTGGTCGGCCGCTGCCGCCGTCCACCGCCGTCGTCGGTATAAATGCGATCGCATTTATTCAGGTTCAATGACACCAGCACCAGGCGATCGCATAGCAGATCGGTGGGCGGGTCGGTGGAGCAGCGGAGGTGGCGACATCTATATCACAGCCTACAGAGTCTGCCGCGAGGTGGCAGTAGCTCAAGGAGAGCCTCATTGAAGGCTCGTTGGTCATTGGTCATAGGAAAACAGCTGTCACGCAATGAAATCAAGAATGTTTGGGGCTTTGATGAAGCAGAAAAGGTGATCACACTCTGACTTAAGAAGACAATCACTCGTGAATCTAGACTCTTAAATAAAAACTTAGAAATCTGCCAGCGACTTGCAATGAACTGGGTGGTTAGAATCACTTAAAATGCAGGACATACATGAATGAAAATACTGCCATTCATGCGGATGGTCCATCTCTGCAGTTTCTTCTTTAAAAGTTGTAGCTAAAAACCATGCACAATGTAACGAACCTTCCACACTTCAGAAAAGCAAAGAAGAAAGAACTTTTGCTTTACAACAACAAGGGCATTCGAATAATTTCCCTGAAATGTGTCTAGGACAACTCACCTGGCCTTCTCGAAGGTGGCGCCCGCCGTTTTCCCGGCAGCGGCGAACCCGACACCCACCGCCAGTCCCTCTGCAACCGCGAGGGGATTAGAACATCAGACCAGAACGCTACGGCACTGACAGTGGACGGCACTGGAAGAGATCGGGATTTTATGTATTTCAGCGAATAACAACACGAACACAATATTTTAATAACTCACAGAGGTCAGGATGGGACCCAGGATTCAGTTCCAGGTCCACCTGAATGACGGAGGGAAATAGAACATCAGACTGATACAGCACTGGGGGAGGGGGGGGGGGGGGGTAATAAGAGGGTGATTGTGTCAAGAGACGCCCAAAATTTTGATATAGGTAATAGGAATCCAGCGAGGATCTAAAAAAGGTCCAAAACAAAACCAAGCCTAGAGCCGAGTGCGGTATCCCCGCAGTAGAAAACGAATGAAGCCCAATCTATGTCATCATTTATCATTGTGTCCCTCAGATTTTTGTCTGCATCACGTTTTTTTTTTGTAGTAAGCAGCACAGTTAGAAAGAAAATAGAACATAAAAACAATCTTCCAGTTCTTTCATGGTGTTTCAGCTACTCCTCACGCACATCTCTGAATTCACTGCGACCGTCACACACAACTGTGCACAGTTGAGTTCACTCACCGGGAATATTATGCACTGTGATGGCGATGATCAGTAGCAGGATGCGCCTCCAGCGGGCAGACAGGTCTTCCTCCTCCCGGCTATCCAGCCCGGCAGACGCGCCATCGCCGTTCCCTTTACCCAGAGTACGGCGCTGACGCAGGCCATCTGTCGGCGGGAGGGGAGATGGTAGTTAGAAGAACTGCCGCCAGGGGTAAGTTGCGATCGCTGATCACGCCGGAATAGATGGGAGACTAGGCATTGCAATGGGCATGGAACTGAACAGAACAGGAGCTGAGCAGATATGACAGGAAGTGCACAGGCAATCATGACGTCATCAAATGCTCAAGAAAGCATAAGATCAGGCACGATTTATCAGGGGGCTGCAGCTGAGTGCATCGCTGTCCGCACTTGGCGATGATGCACTTGTCCACTCAGTTTATCGGTAAACGCCTCATGGCTGGGCTTAGATTGCAAGGGCACAGCATGCACTGTTATTTTCCCCCACCATACCTGACAGCATGCCGCTGTTTTCGACCAGATCCTCGCCCCGTTCGCTGTCCATTCGTCGTCGGCTGCGATGCTCTCTTTCGCCGTCATCCAGAGACGCTGAAAGAGCAGAAAACACCGAGTTGTTGTTAGGTCCGTGATTAAATCGCGAGGGTTTGCTGCATGGCAGATTTCTCCTAAGACCAGTATAACGCCTTTTGGGGCGACTAACGGAGCGAGCGAGAGGGTGGGCCTTGCACGTGCGAAATTTCGAAGGGGTACCTCCAGCTGACTTGTGCACGGCACCCTACTAACCGGTCTCTAGCGATGTGCCAAATTTGAGCACAATCGGCCCAGCCGTTCTCCAGATCTGGAAGCGGCACCCTGCACGTGCGCACGTGCAAAATGGGTCCCAACTGACTTGTTCACGGCACCCTAGTAACTGGTCCCTAATCGTGTACCAAATTTGAGCGCCATCGGTCCAGCCGTTCTCGAGATCTGGAAACGACCCCCGCACGTGCGCACGTGCAGCAGCACCCCAACTCTGGCACATGGATATGCAGTGCCTAGTGGGTGCCTACCTACATGCCAACTTTCAGCGCAATCGGCCAAGTAGTTACCGAGATATTGCAACAATTACAAAACTGACACCTCTTCGTTTTGCACGTGGCACGTGCATAAGGGGTCACCCAAATGCATCGGGAATAGTCCAATACTTGGTAGAAGGAATGAAGCTACCCTACAAAAATTACCGCGTGTAAATCGGTCAAGTGGTTGCTGAGATATAAGCCTCGCAAAAGCGTCCGCACGGCCGGCCGGCCGGCCGGCCGCTCATACTCAGAAATTTCCGTTATTCTACGTAAGACTCCGCTCGCTTCGCTCGCTCCGTAATAAGCCAAACAAACATGACATAGGACTTGAACACTGCTAATAAGTTACGGCAAAAAAGTTAGGTATATGCAGCCCGTTCATGACAGACATCCGTATCTCATGTTTCCCATCTTGATCCCAGTTGTAGGTAAGACACAAATCTTGGGTAAGACGAGACCATGATACAATCATCTTCCCCTTACCCCAAGAGGGGACCAGTGACCTGCAGGGCCCTCCCTTACCTAGCATCAGCGAAGACGAATCCACTCCAAATCTCTTCATCATAACATCGGCTCCCGAAACAAACATGGCGCCCGCCAGGAAGCCCACCGCCACCGGCAGAAACGCGAACTCTCCGTTCGCGCCGTATCCGCCAGATGTCTCTGCCATCTGCAGGGCCGGCTCCAGGAGGGACCAGAACGAAGCTGCCGTCATCACGCCAGCTGCAAACCCCAGGCTGGCGTCCAAGACATCATGCTGCAAATGAAAGAAGGTATGTCAGAGACAAGCTGGTGCTGACAACTAAATTCAGGAGGGATATTTTGAGAATGCAGTGCCCATAATAAACACAAAAAAACAAAAATTGTTGGAAATGGGACAGGCCAACAGAAGTAACTATTTCAACAATCACTGCTTCTATTCAGCACAAATCCTTGAGGGCTATAACTAGCCTGGATGAGGTCATAATTGCTATAAGAAGCTTGTTTCAGAGGCATAAGCTGTTAAAAACATCCCTGTGAGCAGGGCAATAAGGTCATACAGCCAGGTACTTACATGTGATCCAGACAGTACAAAGACTAGTCCAGCACCCAGAGCTGTGACACCCCACGTGAAGAGGGTGCCCAGAAATGTCTGGCCGAGGGGCGAGACTCCAGCAATCATGGCACCAGATTTCTCAAGTCTAGGTGACTTGATAATTTGCTGAATATTGCTCTGAGAGCCTGTTGAACAGAAAAATGAGCAGAGTGATAGATATTGGAATGAAAGGAAATGCATAGACTCCAAATACAATACCTACCTAGCTAGTCTCAGTCTCCATTGATCAGGGACTGGAGGTGGCTTGAAAGAAATTAAATTTGTTAGTTTTAACCAGCCTCTTACACTTACTTACACTTACGATGTACGAGATTTAGAAGGCCACTTGGCCTTTAGGACTCTTACTTTATCGAGCTCCTTGACTGTGTCACTTCCTCATTGTCATATCACACTACGCCACATCATTGATGTGAATGGTGTATTGGAGGTGGGACCAGTGGGCGTCGAGCTTGGCTTTGAAGGCATTCAAGGAGCGAGATGAAACAACCGATGCTGGTAGGGCGTTCCAGTCGTTTACGACCCTGACTCCAAGAGCGAGTCTTCTCGTTCTTGTTTCAGCCCTCGGTTTCCTCAGTTTCCAGGCGTGGCCTCTGGTGGGACCAGCGGCAGCTGGCGTGACAAACAGCTCCGGATCCAGGTCGACTCCACCGTGCAGCAGCTGGTATATCGCGATCATATCTCCTCGTCGCCTCCTGTAGTAGAGTGACGGCAGACCTAGACGTCGGAGCCTCTCAGTGTACGGCAGGTTCTTGATCGCTGGTATCAACTTGGTAGCTCTCCGTTGAACCCTCTCCACTCGTTGTTGGTCCGCTCGACTGAATGGGCCCCAGACAGTGTTGCAGTACTCCAGGTGAGGTCTGACCAGTGTTTTGTAAAGAGCTGGGAGCGTTTCTGCGTCGATGGATTCGAAAGATCTGCGAATCACGGACAGGACACGTGTGGCCTTCGACACCGCAGCTGCAGCGTGCTCCCGAAACTTCAACTCACTGTCGACCAGGACACCAAGATCCTTCTCAACGGTGGTTTCATCCAACTGTGCATCACCCATGGAGTACCTCTGACCTTCGCTGGCCCTTCCAACGTGCAGAACTCTACACTTTTCTGCGTTGAAGTGGAGCTGCCACATGTCTGACCAGTCGATGGCTGCGTTCAAGTCCGCCTGCAACCTTTCAGCGTCTGACGAGCTACTCAGTGAACGGTAGATTTTGGTGTCGTCTGCAAACATCTGTATGTTGCACTGCACAGCATCAGGAAGGTCATTCACATAGATTACAAACAGCAGTGGCCCAAGCACGGATCCTTGTGGTACTCCACTCTTGACAGGTGCCCAGCTGGACTTCGCACCGTTCAGGATGACCCTCTGCCTTCTGCCCACCAGAAAGCTCTCCACCCAGCGCAGCAGCCTCTCCCCTATTCCGTAGGCCCTCAGCTTGCACAGTAGTCGCTGGTGAGGTACCGTGTCGAAGGCCTTTGAGAAGTCCAAGTAGATTGCGTCCACTGACTTTCCTCGTTCAATCGCCTTGGTCCAGTCATCGATTGTTACCAACAGTTGGGTTGCGCAAGAGCGTTTGGGGCGGAAACCGTGCTGTGCATTGTTAAGCTGCTGGGTCGCAACCATGTGTTCCATGATGTGGTCGCGGATAATCGACTCGAGGACCTTGCACGGAATTGCCGTCAAACTCACTGGTCTGTAGTTTGCAGGAGATTGTTTGTTGCCCTTCTTGAATATCGGGACGATCTCACCTGCCTTCCAGTCCAGGGGTAGGTCTGCTGTCTGCAGAGACTCGTTGAAGAGAAGAGATAGTGGTCGGGCGATGTTGTGGGCAGTCTCAACAAGAACTCTTGGGTGGATCCCATCAGGGCCAGGAGACTTAGAAGATTTCAGCATCCTCAGCTTGGCTTCTACTAGTCCTGGTGTCACTTCTGGAATGTCAAGGTCTGACCCAGAATAGCCATTTTGCATTCTTGGGACATCATCTCGTTCTTCAGTGAAGACGCTGCTGAAAAACGCATTTAGCACTCTTGCTTTGTCCTCATTGTTTGAAGCCAGTGAACCATCTGCTTGCTTGAGGTCCTCTACTCCGGTCCGGGTTTTCATTCTGGAGTGGACATAACGCCAGAAGGGCTTTGGATTCCCCTTGACTTCTCTAACAAGCCTCTTCTCAAAGTTGCTACGGAGATTTCTGGTCAGCCGACGGAGGTCGTTGCGGCATCGGACAAAGCGGGCATGGTCAATGGGGTCTTTCGATTGCACATATTTGAACCAGAGTGTTCTCTTCCTCTTTTTCAGCTTCAGGGCCTCACGGTTGATGTAGATGTTCTTCTTTGCTGCTTTGGGCAGGGCAGGTGGCACACACTTGTCAGTTGCTTCCTCTATGATCTTCTTCCAGTGATTGTACCTTGCTTGCACTGTCTTGGGCATGTGATCTTCCCAGTCTGCTGAACTCATAAGCAGATTCATTCGGTCAAAGTTGGCCTTGTGGAAATTCAGGGTATTACCTGATGGCTCTGACCGCTGGGTGTAACACTCCAAGTCAAATGATATTATTTGCCAGCTCTTGCTGGTAACTTCCGGAAAAATGTTACTTAGTCCAGACCTACTGACCAGATAAAATCTGCATGAAACCTACCTGCAGGCTGCACCACCTTCCTATCACAGAGAAACCGCCCACAACAAAAACACGTAAAAAAATAAACGCCGCAAAGCTGCCGGTTATCACAATATCGGAATATAATACAAATAATGACGTCATTGAAAAAGAGCGATTGATTTTCAAAGTTCGAACTGCTTTTATGTTTTAATCAGCAGTTCGGTGTCTATGTGAAGCGTTTATTTTTATTTTATTTTCCGCAGCATTGCAGGATAAATTATGGCTAAAAAGGGTCAAAAAGCTGCCATAATCGGTTCACCGCTCATTCAAAACTTATGACGTCATCAAATCAATAAAGAAAATATCACTGAACGAAAATAAAGTTTGCTCTTTGCGCCACTAATGTATGCAATGTGTGAAACCCACTGAGCTCTTTAATGAAACGGAAACACGTCCGAAACATTCAATGATGAATGGTAGAACGGCATAGATATTCCCTGAATTAAAGTTTTTTTTTTGTATACCTTATCATGGTAAGTCAAACTTATTCATAATTAAGTGTAAAGGTACCTACATGGAATGTCGTTTTTAATTTAACTTCCCTCTTTGCTAGCATTGACTAATTAAGTACCTATTACCTGCATCATTTCATGCCTAACTGTGGCTTCAGCTACTGTGTGTGTGATAATAATGACTGCCTTTATTTTCAGCATTGGTGACAGTTCTATGAATTTCCTTCTGTATATACTTTCAATATGAATGCAGCTGAAGAATGTCTAGTTTGCGGTGTTGCCGAGCCTCAACAATACGAGGAAAATAATGTAAGTCTGCAGTCATGGATGGAATGGTCTTACACTGCTATTGTGTATCACATTTTGATGAAACAATAACCTAGGTTGCAGTGTTCTCCTGGGTACTTCTTTCAATATTTTAAAGCATGATTTTTTCAGTGTTTTGTAATGGCCTTACGTACCTGTTGTAATAAATGAACAAGGAAATGAGTAGGTAAGCACCTATATTTTAAAACTAATTCATAACTGGCAATGACCATAGTCAAACATTAATTTTTGTTCAACAATATAGATCACTGTTTTTTTTTTTATTCGGTCCAATCGAGTTTGAATTCATGCCTGAAAATATGTCAAGAAATACTTTCAATCAATTGTTGTGCCTTCCAACTGTGAACTGACCACAGGGTAGGCACTATCAATAACCCTTCATTTTCCAGGCCTGCTTGCTGCCAGTCTTGGCTGGACTCCTGGGACAGGATCTGGAGCCTGCCAACATGTCCTCTTGCTTCCTGTGTCAGAGGTGCCATCACATCCTGTCAGAGGCTGGATCACTGCAGCAGAGACTGGGTCAGCTCAAGGAGGCTATTTTGAGTGTGTACAGGTAGGTTAACAGGTGATTTCTGTTCTTTGTCTTTCTCGCAGCTCTTCTTTTTGTGTCTATTTCTGAACCCATTATATTTTGGGAAGGGTTCTCTCCTTGAATGTTGAATCTTATATTCATATAACTCTTAAAGATTCAACAATAGGTTTGGTATATGTCTTTTAACTTAATGCTTAACCTGTTTTAACTTTTTGTTCCTGATTTCTTGGTTGTATTCAAGTGCATCTATTCTAACAGACATCTCATTTTTTTTCAGGCCAGTGAAATATGATGGAATCACCCAGGTGTCACTCGACAATCACAATGGCAGCTGCTCTTTGCCATTATCATCCCAACTACCTGTATCAGATCCAGCGACCTCAACAGCCAGTAACCAGACAACTCAACATTCCATGACAGTGCAAACTACATTGTCATCTACTCATTCCCTACACGAAGGGAATGAGGCACATGAAGGTGTCACTGAAGTAGCAAGAAATGGCTCATCGTCTTCAAACACATCAACCATGACCTCAACTCAACCATCAATGGCATCATCGGGAAGACAGGACATACCCGCCAATAAGTCCGGAAAGCCCGCGAGCACCGCGAGAAGGCTTCCGTGCCCGATCTGCGGAAAATCTGTAACGGCACGGTATTTACGGGACCATCAGCGACAGCATTCGGGTGAACGACCGTTCCCATGTACCTTGTGCTCTCGCTCTTTCGCCAAATCGAGCGACCTTTCCACCCACCTCCGCCGTCACGCGGGTGACCGTCGCCATCGCTGCTCGCTTTGTCCAGCAGCGTTCTTCTTCCCCCACGAACTGGCAAACCATCGTCACACCCATGGCGATACGAGGCCTCATCTGTGCGCAAAGTGTGGCACGGGATTCCTCAGTCGGGCGGGACTTCTGCGTCATCAGCGTGCCAACCATCCCGAGCCACGCGCGGGAGACACATCAGATGGCGCGAGCGTTCCGCGCGAACCGCGCTCCAAGTGTGCAGTCTGTGAGAAGACGTTTACCTGTGAGCAGAGCCTGAAGCGCCACGAAAGGGCGCACGGAGCCGGGAAGAGCTACATGTGTGAGCTGTGTGGAGTGACGTACAAAACGAGCACGGCGCTGCGGTTCCACACGAGGAGGCACCACAGCGGGGAGCGACCCTTTCAGTGTCAGGTGAGTCCACAGCGGGTTGTACGGATCAGCAGAGGGGCAGGGATCATTAAATGGTGGGGAGGTTTGGGCTCTTCGGTCATTGCAACCACAGGTTTCCCGTGATGTAGCTGGATGTACTGTTTTGTCATTCATTTAGTTAGTTTCTTTCGTTGAATTGTTGAAACTTGAAAGGGACTGTAAAAATGTTTGTAATATCATCACAGATGCTGGATGATGGATGTATTTTTTCTCGATCGATATGCCCCTTTGCAATATGCATTGATTCATTTCCTTCCTAGCATCGGTTCAAATTGTCCCTGTTCCGTCGTCTCCTTTAAATCGCTCCTCCACCAAAAGGAGGAGTCTTCGACGTCAGCATCCTGGAGCGTTATTATTTCACTCCGCTTGACCTGCTGTCTTGTTTCCTGGTATCCTTCATCAAGAGACTAACTAGTCGGCACTCAGTGGGTGAGTCCTGAATCGTTGGTGAGTCTCCAAGACTAAGGAGAATCATTCCAGTCACTCGCTCCCCGCTTCGAAGTTCGAAGTCGTCACCAATCCGCTTCCAATCTCTTCAATCTGCTCCGGATTGTCACCCTACTCCTGATCGTCACCAGTCCGCTCTTGATCACCATGAGGTGCTTTTCCTGGTTTTGCATCGAGTTCCTTCCATTCTTACTCCACTGACGATTTTCTGCGCATGCGCCTCAGGTGTGCGGCCGCCAATTCATCACGCGTTCTGTGTGGCTTCGGCACCTCCGCGTCCACACGGGCGAGATGCCGTTCCGCTGCCAGTTCTGCGGCACAGACTACAAGGACAAGCAGAAGCTGAAGCGACACTACTCCAACAAGCATGCTGCGGACGTGGAGAGAGTTGGTGCGGAGAATCTGAAGTACAGTGCTGCTGAGGTGGCGCCTGTGACTGCTGCACGGTGTGATGGGGTGGACCGGGCGACGGAAGGGCAAGGCGTGAGCTCCGGTGCGTCAGGAGATACACAGCAGTCGCTCGAGGCGATTGTGGAAAGAAACGCGGAAGGGTCTGCTTCAGGTCAAAGCGCTTCTGATTTCGATCAAGGTGGAGTTCAGATCGAGGTCGGTGGTTCCATTTGGACGTCGGAGCAGTGGAAGGAAGCGGAGAGCGTTGGACAGGAGTATAGCGATACTAGCGCCACAGTGGCAGACCCGGGAACTGTTAGTGAGCTGCAGGCTCAAGAGATGTCGGCTGTCGAAATGATGCCAGATTCTTCAGTTTTGACGCAAGGAATGCTATATGAGGCGCATACGGCGCTTTTTAATTACTTTTGATTGTGACTGAAAGGGTTTAACTAGCCTGAACGAGATTAAATACGTTAAATCAATTAAGTGATCTCATGCGATCGTTCATTCTCCGAAATCCGTAGGGTAGACCGGGGCAAGTCGCCCCGCCGAGGTAAAACGCCTCACCGATGTTTCGCGGAACTGGCAGAGTTCTGGGGAAACATCATCTCTTCTATAAAACGTGCACTATATGATCATTATATGAGCAGACTGGAAAGAAATTGTGATAACTCTTTCGGGAGATATAGCCAAAAATGTGTTTTTTGAGTGATTTTTATGTTTTGTTGTCAGATTATGTATCATGGCGTTCTTTTATGGTCCACATCAGGTTAACGACTTTTATGTGTGTTGAACAATTATTGTCTAACGCTTATCATGCCGGGTTGATTCGTGTTAAATTATGTCTTGCTGGAGTGCAAGGCGTTGTTCTCTGACCGAACTACGTGATGGGGTAAAACGCCCCAGTAGGTCGCGGGGCAAAAAGCCCCTGGGGCGTTTTACCTCATGTGTTGTTCGGGCTACTCACTTTCTAATGTTCGGGCTCTGGCGAACAGTAAGTTTCTATGCCTTTATGTGTATTTTTCTCAGCAACTGGATGGCAAAGGAAGTATTTTGTTAACGTTTGCATTGCAATAATTTATTATTTGGTCTTATGAGGTAGGTGAAAAACCTGCTCATACAATAGTGTCACAGCTGAACACCTGACAGGATGGAATGTGCTAACTTCAGTGCCGTGCCTCCAGAGGTCTAACGGACCTCTCACATAAGATTTAGCCAACTACCATGTTAAATCTTTAATCTAAAGTATGGGGCTACTTGCCCCAGGCCGTGGGGCGTTTTGCCCTGGGGCTGGGGCAAAATGCCCCATTTGCAGTTGCTTTACAAATCACTTCCTAGCTTGGAGTCCGATCATAAGTGAATGAATTTGAGGGGTGCAATTTAAAGTAAAATGTCCAAAGAACGCATTGAGCACAAATTTGGCCTTCCAGGTGATGTGGGACAAAATTTATATTTTGCTACATAAATTATCTGGGGCGTCTTGCCCCAGGCTACCCTACTATCGCGCCACTTTTAGAAAGAGTTAAAGAAATGCTTAACTTGCTTTGGAGATTTGTACTACATCAGTTAAGATCCAAGAAACATTCCTATACTATTAAGCTACTTATAGTGATTTGTTGCATCAAAAATGTATTTGCAGCAGAAGCGAGATGGAATTATAGGAAGATTTTTTTTTTTTACTCAGGAACATGGAAGCATTTATGTGCTAAGCAGTGCCTCTAGCTACTTAGCTATGTCCATTAAATTTGAGTGACGGGGTACTGGGGAATTCCATTGCAACTATTGTGGACAGATATTTGTCATCAATTGTTTGCGCACATATCAACCAAGGCAGTTGGTCAGTACGCCACCTTTTATAATTTCCCACTTTGTAGCGTCATTTTTGTGTGTGTTTAAATTACGGATGGTGTAGTATGATCCTTTTTTGTGAAGAAGTTGTGCTGTGATTTACCTCAGACACTATTTTTGATAGTATGACATGTAATGCGACTCTTGTGCCTTTGACGCACGGTTTGCAGCCTATCTCTTTACATATCGAAAGCGTATTGCTAATGTGTGTCTGTGTACAACTTTTTTGTGATTTGATTATGATTGTGTATGTGAATGTGCGGGTCCATTGCGCTGCACTCAGTTTCGTAAGCTATTTAACAATATTTGTTAAACATTGTTACGTGATTTGAGATGTGCCTTACTGGAGGCTTTGTGAGTCTGTTAGGCTTTACGCCCGTTGAAGGAGGGTTTCTCGGTAGGGGAGTGTCATGATTCATTTCTAGGAAGGCTTGTGATGGCAAAGTTGTTGAACCACTGCTCTGTCCTACCGGTAAAACTAATTTTAAAATCATCACTATCCCGTGCTCTCTGTAATATGTGATTTCGACTATGTATTTGGCTGTTAAAACAAAAAGCTATAAAGTTTGCATATTTTCCATGTTTTTCATCATAAACCAGATCACGCGTACTCTCGTTTTCGAATTGACATTCACCAATATAGGGACATTATTTGATTAGGGCTTCATCAATATTTTATTTTTTGCGTCAAATAAAGTGAAGCAATGCCCGTATTTCATTTACGATCGTTTGGAGTTTGAACTTTGCATTTGAAGCATAAAATACCCATGGTTGTTTCAAAATACAAGCTCAATTGCATGTAGTCTGTGTGTACGCACCGCTCATTTTGGCAATTAGGCTGATGTCTAGGTACTAGTTTCTCCGAAGCTCATAGCTGACCAAATATAGAACTGACGAGCTCACGCTGCTTTTGTATTGATTCGCCTTCTGATATCCTGCATTTAATCATCTCGTTCATCATTACTGGATGTTCTATTTCTCTGACCGCAATTTCGGTGCGATTGCTCGACCTTCAAGTTTGGACGGCGGAATGGATTTAGCATTGATAAATAATCGATTCACCAAGTTCGCCGACGTACTTTATCAAACTTTAGCTGGCTATGCTCAAAGATCGCATTGAAACCAGCAGGAATGAGTGTCTTTATAAAAGCAGCTCCTCGTTTAGCACAGTGCTAGTAAATGTGACATTATTTCCATACACTGTGCTTTCCGCCACCAGCCATAGACTACACCGAACAATAACCGGTCTCGTACCTACCTTAGAGAGTTCGTCATACAATAACTATTGTCCAATCAACGTCTAGGGCCATGCTGACCAACAATGTCCTGGTTGATGTGCTTGGGACGGGCTGCCATGCATCAGATGGTCGATCGATGCGTCCAATGGACTCTGTCCATCACAACTGCTAGTTGATTATGGTTGGTTCGTGAATTACGTCGCTGACATGCAACCATAGCAACCGGTACACAAATATTGTGCCACGGGGCTTAGTCAATGTAGTGAGGGAACGGAGATTATAAACCCTTGCCCCATTAATATCATTCCAGATGGTGTTTCATTCAAACTTGTTCCGGCCGAGCCAAAGAAGCCGACTGGGTAAATATATTATTATTATTATTAGCTCTTTTAGTTATTGCCGATACTTTAAAAAACATATGCTTCCCTTCTTGGTTTTTCACGTCAAGCTTAGCGATATTGTCGAGCGTCGATGCCTATCTGACGCTGTCGTTTGACTTTCTAAAGAAGTTGTATAATGTAGGTATTAGGTATGCAAAAGCGCAAGTCCACTTTATATTACGATCTTCTGCTAAATGTTTCACTGGTGTGGTAACAAGGTAACATTACAGGGAGCTTGTTCTTCTTTTTTTTTCGTCGAACGTACGCCTTGTCTAATGGATTTGCAATATCACTAACCTAGAAACCTCCAACACCGATAAGACTTCAGAGCTTTCTTTTTATCACGTGCCACTAGCCATTTCAGTCCGTGCAATACGTCATCCCGGTACCTCCGTTGCTCGGAGCGAAGCCGTGGCGCAATTGATTTTGCCAGGCGAACGATGCTAGCGACGTATCGGCACCGACGATGCTACGTCGCCACCGATACAGGTGTAGTGCCTACTGCCTGTTGGTCAGTTCGGTTGTGGTGTCTGGGGTAAACGGTCTTGGACGTTGGTGGACTGTGAGTAGATTGCGGTGACTTGCAGCTGAGGAAATATGGAAAGCCATGTGAGGTTGGGAAATAACTGAAGCGTGTCGATCGTGTCTATTGATTATGAAGACTCGTTATACTCTAAAGAAGAAGAGCGCACAGAGTTTACAGGCTGCACAGTGTACAATACGGTGGTTTCCAGCGTTCGAGTAACCTCCGTCAAGTGAAGATCGAAGTCTACGCTAAACGTAGAACTGGCACGGACTACGCCTGTCATTGTCCTATCTGAACAATCATCCAGGCAGGCCTTGGTGGGTACCTGATTCATCGACCTGAACGCATCTTCACCCGCCTACTCAGAGTCCACCATGCCTTGGTCAATAGTAAGTCCTGAGCCGACAACTTCTCAGCCGCCTCCCTTGGGATCAGCCTACCTTTCTTCGGACCAGAGCGCCTTCCAAGAATCTTCAGTCTTTGGACCCTCACCGCTGCCACCACCGACCACAATCGCCGGGTGTCCGCGAGGTCTTGAACCGGTCATCGTCGCCGAAGAGTTGACCATCGAGCGCCTCTCTGAAGACGAGTACACAGTTCGAACCGCATCGGGGCAGATCCTCTTCAGCGCGTCGATTGACGTGGCTTGTTGCAATTGCTGCGGGATACGCCTCTGTGGAGATGGCCCGGCGTATCGACTTGTCGTCGAAGACCTCGAGAAAAGAGAAGTCCTCACGTTGTCTCCGCCAGAAACAAGCCGTTATGGCGCCTTGACGAGCTGTTTACAATGTCTAGAAGAGTATGATGTAACTGCTGGAGGAGGGTTACATATAGGTGCTGTTACTGAAGAACCCGGCTGCTTTAGTTTCCAGACAAAGATCGGCGTGCGTAGCGCAGACGGTGATGCAAAGCTCTTCATCACGGGACCGGACTGCAGTTCCGGGTGGTGCTGCTGCTCGGATGTTATCTTGCCCGTGGTTGGAGGCGATGGCCAGCGGTTAGGTTCGGTGACAAATGTTTGGAGAGGATGTATGAAGGAGACTTGCAGTAGGGGTAAGGTGTACAGGGTGAAGTTTCCGTCGGGTCTCGATCCGATCACCAAAGCGACCTTGTTTGGGGCAGTTTTCGTGGCGGGCCACACGTTCTTTGAGAGCAACGAAGAGAATGTGTAAGATGAAACTGGATAACAGTTTGTGGTGGTGATGTGTCCCTTGTGATCAGTGTTGGGTAGTTGTGTTAAGATAAATGTGGTATACATACATACCGTGAAGACCTAAGACATTAAATGTTCACGGAATGGTTTCGCGGGTGGAGATAGTGTGAAAAGTCGACACCAAAAACAAATGTGATGCTTAGGCATGTCGTTAGACCGAGAGCTTTAACGGAACACTGCTGCTCAGCTTAGGACTCTTCAGTCTTCACTCTTCATGCACGCGAATGTGTGTTCAGTCCACGTGGCTTTACTGAAGTCTCCTCGCATGATTTTCGTTCAGAGAGCCCCGAGCATTTTATGAGTTCTACCGTTAGGTACTTATGATCGTCCCTTCTTTTTCAAACTATAAAATTAGATGCGTAAATAAAAGCAGAGGGATGTGTGACCTAGAGATGTGTCATCGCAGTATGACAATATTATCTTTGTTCTAGCCGGCAGTACGTTGCTTGAATTGTTCAACGAATGTTGGGTCTGCTGTTGCATGCACATCTAGTGGATGTTGATGCTTGTTAAGTTGATGTGCTATAATCGATAATTATCAAAACCCTATTTACCTTTGAACATGAAATTGATGAATGAGAAAAGCACCAGTTCTTCGAGGGTGTAGGAACCCATCAGATGACTTTATGAGGGTCATGTCCATATTATATTATTAGGTGTAGCCGCATCTCCAGACCCAGCGTGTCGAAATCCAGTATGTCTTAACGGACCGTTTATTGGACCGAGTGAGCTGAGTGGATAGCCCACACGACCTCGAGAGTAACAGTCGTTGCTGGGAACGAAACACAATACACAAATCAAAGGACGTATAAATAAGCGTTACCAAACGTACAAAATAAACGAAAGGGGTGGGCAAACAAGAGGGCTTAAACGTACCAATAAATGATACACCAAAACAGGCCGTGAGGGGCCCTACCACAGATAACACAGCATCCCTGCGTACTGACATCAAATTAATCGTGACATTTCGTGACCTTTCCTAACATTCGTGACATTTCGTGACCTTTCCTAACATTCGTGACGTTTCGTGACCTACCGACAAATGTGCCTTCTGGGTCGCTTCGCGGCTAACGTCCATACATCCAGAGGCATCCTTCCAAGCCAGCCTCACATCTCCGACGCCATATCTACGAATCCAGACACCAGTCAGGTCCATTGTCGTTTACCTTAGTGCAAAGTATAATAGTCTCGGTTTTCATCATATTGGCGCTGAAACGTCTCATATGAAATTGACAACAGAATATCTATACGAGCTAACAGATTACACATTTAAACGCATCATAGTGAAATACAACTGCTCAGCCACTTACCATCGCTCGCGCAAACACAGACACGACACGACCGCCTCTGCCGCCATCAGCGCGAATGATCCAGAATTATGGCCGGGCATAGAGCCGGGTGGCACGTCACACAACAAACGAGTACTGAGAAGTATTGCAGAAATTGCCTTCTAACAATACGCCAACGAACAATGAGCCATCGAATATTCAAACTATCAAATAATCACGCGATACATTTCAAATTGGTCGTTTACGACAATCAATATAGTACAAATGATACAACGGAAAAACGCAAAGTACAGCAAAATCAAGTACAAACAGAGTAAAGGCCATACGAAAATGTCCACCTCTAGGACCATGGGCGATGCTACTCGCAAACCGAGGGGAGGTAGTCCCGGCTCTCCAGGCAGGCAGAGCGGGGAGGCAACCGGGGTAGAGAGAAGAGCGAGCCGGCTTCAGCGGAGCGGCGCACGACTGGGAGCCCGCACCCCCGTTCCACCGCGCGCCGCAGCGGCGCCGCCTACACCCGCCCCCATGTGCGCACCATGTGCGTCACATTACTTATTCTACATGAGAAACACTAACTTCGAGATCGGCCTCTTCAAGACGCTGCTTGCCGTTTTCACCATAGCGGAACGCACAAGACCCTCGCTGTCCGGAAACACCCCCAATACGCGTCCGAGAGGCCATCGACATCGCGGGCTGTTAACGTCAACGACCAAAACAACGTCACCAACAGAGAGGTTCTTCCGTGTTCTGACCCACTTCTGGCGCTGCTGAAGAAGTGGCAGGTATTCCTTTACCCAACGCTTCCAAAACAGGTCGGCGAGATATTGCACCTGCTTCCACCTTCGACCAAAGCAGCTGTCCCTCTCGCTGAAGATGCCGTCTGGCACCGGACCACCACGCAGTAGTAGCAGGTCGTTGGGGGTGAGAGGCTGCAGATCAGCTGGGTCACTTGATACCGTCGTTAGAGGTCTACTGTTGAGCACAGCCTCCACTTCGCATAGAAGCGTGCGGAGCGACTCGTCAGTCATCGTCTGCTCCCTGAGGAGCGCATTCAGGACTTTCCTGATGCTCCGAACTTGTCTCTCCCATATACCTCCTTGCGATGAGGCACCTGGAGGGGTGAACTTCCACGTGATCCCCTCCTTCAGTAAGCAGTCATGAACGCTTTTCTCTTGCAGCTTGCGGACTTCTTCTCTCAGCTCTCTCTCAGCGCCTGTGAAATTCGTCCCATTGTCAGACCTGATAAACTTCACTTGACCTCTCCGAGCCTGGAATCTGCGAAGAGCATTAATGAAAGAGCTTGTATCTAGGGTTTCGCACACCTCGATGTGAATAGCCCGAGTTGCGAGACACGTGAAAAGCACACAATATCTCTTCATCTGCTTTCGTCCCACCTTGACATAGAACGGACCAAAATAATCGGTCCCAACTCGACTGAAAACTCCACCATCTGGCGCCGTTCTGTCTTCCGGTAGGTTCGACATCTGCTGTGTCACCACCGAACCCTGAATCTTTCGACATCTAACGCATCTTGACAGAACTCTGCGTACTGCGGAGCTTCCAGACACAATCCAGAACCTTCTGCGCAACTCAGCCAGGACATGTTCCCTTCCAGAATGTCCCTTTCTCTCGTGCATGTCCCGTATAATGAGGTCAGTGACGTGACCATTCTTGGGAAGAATCAGCTGATGTTTTGCAGCGTCTGGAATCTGAGCGTTTACGAGCCGTCCTCCGACTCGTAGAGTTCCGTCAACCACACAAGGATTCAGACGGAACAAACGGCTCGACTTCCTTACTGAACCGGACATTTCTTCAGGAAACGCCTGTTCTTGAACATGTCTCAGAATCGCAGCTTCTGCCATCTCAAGTTCTTGTACGGACAGCCTAGGTGAAAGAAGATCTTCATCACGTGTACCGGACTCCTTCCTGCCGGCTACTCTCTTCTGCAGCAGCTGCTTCCACCGAAGCACCCATGCGACACGTTTCTTCAGCTTGAACCAGTCACTTGTGCTGTTCAGCAGCTGTGCAGTGTAGTCATTACCTTCTGTAGCTGTGGTGGCGCTGACTACGCTTTTCTTGATCTCAAGCTCCTCTGTACTGCCCTGAAGCTGTTGGACTTGTGCCTGATCCGGCCATTCACAGGCGGCGCTCTCGAGGAACGCTGGGCCAAGAACCCAGCGAGATGCAAGAAACGCTGGTCCTGACTGACCACGGGATAAGCTGTCTGCCGGATTCAGCTCTGAAGGGACGTATCGCCACTGGTTAGGACTTGAGCCATCATGTATGACGGCTAACTTGTTGGCCACGAACGTCTGGAAGCGAGATGTGACGTTCTGTATGTAGCGGAGCGTTGAGACGCTATCGGTCCAAAAACACACCTCATCGAAATGCAGATCTGTCTCGGAGAGTATTTGAGTGCTCAATTGTACTGCCAGAGCGGCAGCCGTCAACTCCAGGCGAGGGATGGAGCAGGTCTTCAATGGGGCTACACGGCACTTGCTCATCAGTAGGGATGTCGTAATCCTTCCCGCAGCGTCCTCTACTCGAACGTACCCAACTGCTCCATACCCGACTTCACTCGCATCTGCGAACATGTGCAGCTGGCGACTCCGAACCTCACCATGCAGTGGGGCGACGCTTCTCGGAACGGAAAAATCTCGAAGGTCTGCAAGCTCTTCACACCACTGATTCCACCGCTGGAGATGAGAGCAGGGAATTGGATCATCCCAACCCAGCTGTAATCTGCACAGGTCCTGAAGCAACACTTTTGCTGGCAACAAAAATGGAGCTCCAAATCCCAAGGGGTCATACATGGCACTCACAGTGGACAAGATTCCTCTCCTCGAGGCTGGACCACGCTGTACCTCCACTCTGAAGCTGAGTGTGTCATGATCGACATCCCACTGTACTCCTAGAGCTCTCTGCGGAGACAGCACACCTTTAGTGAGGTCCATTTTGTGACCCGGAGCACGATCTGTTTCAGGGAGACATGACATCACCCTTGAGCTGTTGCTGACAAAACCCGTTAACCTGAAACCTCCTCTGGCACAGCACTCACGAACTTCCAGCGCGAGCCCTGCTGCTTCGTCCTCAGTTGACGCAGACTTGAGAAAGTCGTCAACGTAGAAGTTCCTCTGTATGCACCTTGCTACCTCCGGTCGATAAAGCCCTCCGTAGTCCTGAGCCGTCCTTCGCAGCGCGAAGTTCGCGCAGGATGGCGACGACGTCGCACCAAACAGGTGAACGTTCATTTGGTAGTCTTCCAACTGTCGAGATAAGTCGCCGTCGGGCCACCAGAGGAATCGTAGCAGACTTCTGTCTCTGTCAGCAACTCGAACTTGGTAGAACATCTTTTCAACATCTCCCATGATGGCGAAGGGTTCCTGACGGAACCGCAGCAGCACTCCGATAAGTGAGCTGGTCAAGTTGGGCCCCTGAAGCAGTCGATCGTTGAGAGACACACCTCGGTAGCTCGCTGAGCAGTCATAAACTACTCTGATTTTGTCCGGTTTCGCTGGGTGGTAGACACCGTGGTGTGGAATATACCACGTTCTACCCCAGCAGGCGTCCAAACTCTCTCTGGACACCTTTTCCGCGTAGTCCTTCCCAATCAGCTCACTGACGAACCCGCTGTAGTCCCTCAGATACTTCTCATCACGCAGCATCCGCTTCTTTAGACCTTGGGCGCGCTGCTCTGCTTGCTGTCTGTTGTTAGGAAACACCTGCTCGTCTCTGAGGGGGACTGGTAACTCGTAGTGCCCATTGATGAAGCGCACTCCAGTCTCCACCTTCTTGAGCCACTGCTGGTCCTCTCTAGACAGACCGACGTCCACAGCACTACCATGGTCTTCGAAATCCTGGTTGTACAAAGCCATGAAACTGCGATGGAGATCGGAGCTCTCATTGACAACCCTGATACGATTCACTCTTACTCTGTCGTTCTCGTTCTGACAAACGCGTCTTGGGCCCTGCACCACCCATCCTAACTCAGTCCGAAGCGCGAACGGCCCACCATCTTCACTTCGTCTTACCTCTAGCGGCTGGAGCGCCTGAGGACAGTTGCTACCTATCAGGAGACCAATTTCAGCATCGATCCGCGCCAAATCGATGCCCTGCAAGTGAACCCACTGGTTTAGATCCTCGCTTGACGCCATGTCTTCTAGTTTCACAGGAATTGTGCTGAGAGTGTACATCGGAGGCATCGCAATGCACGTACTTCCACCCAGATCCGATATCTTGACTCCCTTTATCACACGACTGTCCACTTGCTGATTGTCAACTGACGCGGTAGTCATTGAGAGCTTAACGTTTTCGCCAACAGCTCCGATCTGCTTCAGCAAAGACTCCGAGCAGAACGTCGCTGAACTGCCTCCGTCAAGAAACGCGTACGTCTCTACTTTCTGGCCACCATCAGTCCACATCTTCACGGGTACGATAGACATCATAGTAGATGACGAGTCAGCACACGTCTTGGAAGAGCTCCTCAGCTTCACTCTGCCATTTGTTACGACTTGACTCGGGTTCTGCGGCACTTCACTACCTGCATGGCCGTCAGAGACGATTCGAACACCGTGCTCTGGCGGTGGTCTGTCGTTGTGCAGTGCTGTTGGATGACGGAGTCTGCAGATTGAGCAGGTCCTTCTCTTCGCACATTCCCTCACCAGGTGACCCTTGCAGAGGCACCCAAAACAAAGTCCCTGCTCTCTGATGAAGGCACTCTTCTCATGAGGTGCCCTTCCTCTGAACTCTTCACATTGGTCGAGGTAATGTGCCTTTGAACAGAACAAACACTTGAGCGATCCCCGCCGCTGCTGAGCTCCTGGCTCGATGACTGTTGCCGATACAGTTTGAACCTTTCTCCGCTGACCTTCCTGTTCTCTTGTCCTGCTGACATTGTGCTGACGACCAAACATCGGGTTCGTCTGGATCCTTACTTCTCTCTCGACAAAGTCGACGATATCCTCAAAGCGCGCTCGTCTGTGCTCCTGTTCATGGATATGGTCCGCTAGGCGGCGCCACTGGTCCTGCAGGTTGTAGGGCAGCTTCTCGATGATTTTCCGCATGGTCTTTGGGTGGTCTGTCTCCCTTGCTCCGGGTGATATTCCACTCATTACGTTGTTGCAAGACCTCAGCGTCAGTGACAAACGATCCATTCCTTCCAGATCTCCTGGTTTTACTTGTGGCCACTCCACAAGCATATCCACAAACGCACTTGTGATTGAGTCCTCGTCTCCGTACCTCCGATCAAGGAGTCTCCTGGCTTCCAGGTAGCCCGATCCAGTCGTCATGTGCAGGCAGCCCCTGATTATGTCCTGTGGCTTACCACTTGTATATTGCTCGAGAAAGTACAGCTTTTCTTCGTCGTCATCAGTTTTGGAGGAGATCCGACTGTCGAATGCACGTATAAAAGATCTGTACTTCGTAACGTCTCCAGTGAATATCGGTATCTCAGCCTTGGGCAGCTGACTTCTTTCCAGATGGGCTAGGAGAGCCTGTGTGGAGTCCCCGTGCTGCTGAGCTCCAGGCTCATCCCTGCTTGCTCTCCTTCGTTCACTTTCTTGATTTTGTGCTTTTCTTCCTTGTTCGTATGCTCTTTCTTCTTGTACTCGTGTCCTTCTTGGTTCTTGTGCTCTTTCTTCTTGTACACGTGTTCTTGGATCTTGTGCTCTTTCTTCTTGTACACGTGTTCTTGGATCTTGTGCTCTTTCTTCTTGTACACGTGTTCTTGGATCTTGTGCTCTTTCTTCTTGTACACGTGTTCTTCTTGGTTCTTGTGCTCTTTCTTCTTGTACACGTGTTCTTCTTGGTTCTTGTGCTCTTTCTTGAACACGCGTTCTTCTTTGATCATGTGCTCTTTCTTCTTCTTCTTCTTGTGTCCTTCTTCCTTCTTGTTCTTGTGTTCTTCTTTCTCCTTGTTCTTGTGTTCTTCTTTCTTCTTGTTCTTGTGTTCTTCTTTCTTCTTGTTTTTGTGTTCTGTTTTCTTGTTCTTGTGGCGTTAATGTCTCAATTCTCTTGAAGGTTTCTTCCTTATCAAACTGAGCCAATACACCTTCCCTTGCCAGGCTTTCATCCAGTTCAGCTTGAATTTCCAGTTCCTCTTTCCTTCTTCTCAACTGCTCTTGCATGTCTTCGAGCTCATGCTTTTTCCTCAACGCCGCTGCCTTAGCATGCAGTCCCGCTCTTCTTGCTGCCTCGAAGGCCCGTTCTGAAGCAACTGTGGCCTTGCTTGATGCCCTTGTTGACGAAGAACGGGATGACTTCACCGATTCAGCAGGGCTTCCAGTGCCAGGCCTGGTACCAGACGCATCAAAGTGGTCAACAGAGAGCGACCCACCAGCCTCCTGGCCTGGAGCGACTTCCCGACTACGGACACCCGCTCTGTCTAGCTCTTCCGGAACATCTAGCGGCGGAGCTCCTTCACCAGTCTGACCATCACATCCTACACCGCCTACACGATCAGTGTGTTCGGATCTACCAAACTCTGTGACAAATGTTGCCAAATCAACGCCTTCCTCTTTCAGGATGTCTTCCAGACGATTCACCAGCACCGCCTTAGGTCCTCTACTATCTTCACCTCTTCTCGACAGCTCAGCCTTCAGCTGATGAACCCTTAGTTTGCCGAGCGTATCCATCTCGTGACCGAGCCTGGGCACAACCAACTACCACAAATCAAATTAGAAAGCTCTTCTGGAAACTGGAACTAACCAGCAACAATGCTAACCTGGAGTCTCTATCAATCGACAGGTTGTCCTTAACCCCTTAGTAGATCAGCGAACACAAACACAATGGAAACCATACTCAGCATAACTCACAGCACAATAAATGATCACACACTGATGCACTAAGTGTCTGTCGCTTCTCAAGATACTGTTCTCTTCGACTCATTTACCATGAAGGCACACACTTTGCAAGATAGTTCACATTTGATCACCAGTTTGCCTCCAGAGTCACTGTTTTTGTGAACCGTTTATCAGAATGTCACTGCGCCACTGCAAGTACCATACAGCCCGCTTACCCCAAATATCAGCAGAAGTAGAGCACTCACTGATGAGCAGGGGCGACTCAGTCCTCACCAGCACCAGCCAGCAGCAGCAAACCAGCCGCCTCACGAGGCCAGCAGAGCCACCAGCCGGTGTGAGCGTGCTGCGAGGTCCTCCCGGTGGGTGGTCGAGCTGCCTTCACGCGTAGCTGCAGAAGTCGCTACTCTGCCGTGGGCAGCTCGTCGCCGTTGTCGACACTTGTCGCAACTGTAGCCGCATCTCCAGACCCAGCGTGTCGAAATCCAGTATGTCTTAACGGACCGTTTATTGGACCGAGTGAGCTGAGTGGATAGCCCACACGATCTCGAGAGTAACAGTCGTTGCTGGGAACGAAACACAATACACAAATCAAAGGACGTATAAATAAGCGTTACCAAACGTACAAAATAAACGAAAGGGGTGGGCAAACAAGAGGGCTTAAACGTACCAATAAATGATACACCAAAACAGGCCGTGAGGGGCCCTACCACAGATAACACAGCATCCCTGCGTACTGACATCAAATTAATCGTGACATTTCGTGACCTTTCCTAACATTCGTGACATTTCGTGACCTTTCCTAACATTCGTGACATTTCGTGACCTACCGACAAATGTGCCTTCTGGGTCGCTTCGCGGCTAACGTCCATACATCCAGAGGCATCCTTCCAAGCCAGCCTCACATCTCCGACGCCATATCTACGAATCCAGACACCAGTCAGGTCCATTGTCGTTTACCTTAGTGCAAAGTATAATAGTCTCGGTTTTCATCATATTGGCGCTGAAACGTCTCATATGAAATTGACAACAGAATATCTATACGAGCTAACAGATTACACATTTAAACGCATCATAGTGAAATACAACTGCTCAGCCACTTACCATCGCTCGCGCAAACACAGACACGACACGACCGCCTCTGCCGCCATCAGCGCGAATGATCCAGAATTATGGCCGGGCATAGAGCCGGGTGGCATGTCACACAACAAACGAGTACTGAGAAGTATTGCAGAAATTGCCTTCTAACAATACGCCAACGAACAATGAGCCATCGAATATTCAAACTATCAAATAATCACGCGATACATTTCAAATTGGTCGTTTACGACAATCAATATAGTACAAATGATACAACGGAAAAACGCAAAGTACAGCAAAATCAAGTACAGCAACTAAAACTACTCTGTCCCTGTATATTGTCTGGAAAAAGGAGATGAAGGAAGTAACGTTTATTGACAACCAGCAAGCATCAACAATATTTTTCCAGGCAAGAGCTAACTGTCTTCCTCTAAATGAGCGCAAGAGATACAAGAAAGAGGACACAAGATGTATGATGTGCAATGCAGAAAATGAAGACCTCGCCCACTTTATATTGAATTGCCCAGCCTACGAAGAAGAAAGAAAAGAATCAATGCATCTTCAGAAACCCTATGCAAAGGATATTTTAGGGATATTTCTGTTTGAGGAGGAAGATATCGAAGAAAAGAAAGAAGTATTGCTTAAGCTGTGGAAGAAAAGAAGACTGCTGGAAATAAAACAAAGTTCTCCATCCTAGTTGACCTTCATCCTCCCAACACCCAATCCTGTCCCCTAGTGAGAATCCTAGCCACACAAACCAACCATAACAATGCAACCCATCGATCAAAGTAAAAGTTAAAGATTAAGAAATCAAGGAGGTGCCGATACAAAGGCTAAACCTCCGAAAACCATCGCATCGCATCGCATCGCATCGCAGTACAAACAGAGTAAAGGCCATACGAAAATGTCCACCTCTAGGACCATGGGCGATGCTACTCGCAAACCGAGGGGAGGTAGTCCCGGCTCTCCAGGCAGGCAGAGCGGGGAGGCAACCGGGGTAGAGAGAAGAGCGAGCCGGCTTCAGCGGAGCGGCGCACGACTGGGAGCCCGCACCCCCGTTCCGCCGCGCGCCGCAGCGGCGCCGCCTACATTAGGTACGCTCACAATTGCACTAAGTTGGATCTATCAAGCGCTGAACAAGACGCCTGCCACAATACATATCGAGCAGTACCAAATTTTAGCATAGGCATGGTCGGTAACTGAGGTCAAGCAATAAAAAAGGGTTTATATTCAATCCGATTGATCTCAGACAACCAAACACCGGATTATAAAATTGCGCCACATTTATTAGTTCCCGCAAATGGACCGATGAATGAGACGAGCATCTCCGACTATGCCAGAATACCTTGGTGGCTTCACTTTTGTTCGCCATGTGCTGACTCACCATCACCCCTCCCGCACTCCTTTCCGTCATTCAGCACTTTCACCATGACAAGCAACTCAAGACAAACAGCTAGTGACTCGGCAAGAAGGCCAGCCGCAATCGACTCAACAGTACCTAGAGATAATACACGGATTACACAAGGACACTCTGGCAATGATAATACACAGTAGAGTAGAATTAGCTCAATAAATCGTCTTGGTGACACGGCGCTTTGGATTTGTTAAACGGTGGCTTTCTTAACCGGAGAATTATTTTCACTAAAAAAAGTGTATCACAATTCACAGCAGGACCAGTACGTTCCGTTCCCCTTGCAATGGGGAAGACGTGACTGCAAACTGCCGGAAACTTCCACCTTGTGGCTTTATCAAGCAGAGTAGCTGGATTTTTAAACCTTAATGAACGAACTTTTTGTAGAAAATTCGTGAACAGCTCAAGTGGCCACAATAAGTGGCTGGACTTATTTTCGGAGGATTTATCGAGCGGATTCTACGGTATAATACTGAACGAGGCCGGTGTAGGTACTCAAATCATTTTTTTTTTAGACCGAGGTCCTTACTGAATTTTCGAACAAAGCCGAAGACCGAGTTCGAAAATCAGTAAGGACTGAGGTCTGGAAAATTCATCTCCCGTCTCCGGCCGGGTTTCCGTTACATCAGTTTTCTATGTACGATGTCTGTCCGTGTGTGGAGTGCTCCCGTTCGAACGTAAAAAAGAAGCAAGCATGCTATGGTCGTCAGTGGGATATAGTTTTTACATGTTGATATTAGATTTTAGAAGAAAAGGCATCACCCTACGATATATACCTATTATAGAAGCTTATTTCAGTTTATAACATAAACGCGTCAGTCTCCACAACAGACTTAGCAGTGATATTGCATTTCATTTTATTCGCCTGACACCCCTTGCTAATAAAATTACGCGACAGCATACCGATGAAGTGTTCGATTTCATTACGAGGCTGACTGCGGACCATTCTCTTACTACCGGCTACTACTTACTGTCTATAGACTTCAATGCATGTTATGCTATCACGTGCCAGCTGCCATCTCAGTCTGTTGCCGATGCGACGTCCCGCTATCTCCATTGCTCGGAGCGAAACCGTGATGCAATCGACTGCATGACCTTGGTCTGACCCAACGGCGCCAGCGCTGCATCGGCGCCGACGATGCTCCGTCCCCAGCGACCCAATTGTGTTGCATGCTGGTCAGTTTGGGTGTGGTGTCTGGGGTAAACGGCCTTGGGCGTTGGCGGACTGTGAGCAGATTGCGGTGATTCAAGATTACTTTACTACTCTACTTTACTACTCTGTTACTTTCCTACGGTAGTGATTGGCAGCCAAGAGAATATGGAAAGCTATACTAGGTTGGGAAATAACTGAAACAATGTGATCGTGCCTATAAACTGTGGACTCCATAGGCTTCTAAGAAGAGCCCACGCAGTGTGCACACACAATGCCCTATAGAAAACTACGGTGGTTTCCAGAGTTCAAGTAACCTACTGCGTCAGCAGCGTCTACCCTGACCACCCCCGTGATTCTCCTGAGTGGCCAGACAGTCATCCAGGCAGACCTTGGTGGATACCAGATTCCAAGATTACCCTGATTCATCGTCCTGAACGTGTCTTCACCCGCCTACATCAACGTCCACCATGTCTTGGTCAATGGTAAGGCATCAGCCGACAACTACTCAGCCGCCTCCCCTGGGATCAGCCTACCTCTCTTCTAACCAGACCGCCTTCAAAGAATCTCGAGGCTTTGGGCTCTCACCGCTGCTACCACCGACCACAATCGCCGGGTGTCCGCGGGGTCTTGAACCGGTCATCGTCGCCGAAGAGTTGACTATCGACCGCCTCGCTGAATACGAGTACCTAATTCGAACCGCCTCGGGGCAAATCCTCTTCAGCGCGTCTATTGACGTGGCCTTTTGCAATTTCTGCGGGTTGTTCAACCTCTGTGGAGATGGCCCGGCGTATCGACTTGCCGTCGAAGACCTCGAGAAGAGAGAAGTCCTCGCGTTGTCTACTCCAGAAACAAGCCGTTACGGCACCCTGACGAGATGTTTATGTCTAAGAGAATATGATGTCACTGCCGGAGGATTACCGATAGGGGCGGTAACCCAAGAACCAGGCTGCTTCAGATTCGATACAAAGGTTGTTGTGCGAAGCGCAGACGGTGATGCAAAGCTCTTCATCACGGGACCGGACTGCGATTGGGGTTGGTGCTGTCACTGTGGCGCGGATGTTGTCTTGCCCGTAATAGGCGGCGACGGTCAGAGGGTAGGTTCGGTTACGAAAGTTTATAGAGGCTTTAGGAACGAGGCTCGCAGTAGGACTAAGGTGTACCGCGTCCAGTTCCCGCCGGGTCTCGATCCGAGCACCAAGGTCACCTTGTTTGGGGCGGCTTTTGTGGCAGGTCATACGTTCTTTGAAAGCAGCGAGGAGAGCACATCAATTTCAAACGAAACTGGATAGAACTTCGTGGCGGTGCCGCGATGATGTGCTTTTTGTGCTAGGTGTTAGGCAGCTGTGTGATGATTAATGTGGCATACGGTGACTGACCTAAAGCATTGAAAATTCACGTAATGATTTCGCCGGCGGGCATAATCTGACAAAACTAATATCCGAAGCAAATGTGATGCTTATGCAATATGCATGGCCTTAGGAGGTCCTTTAACCCGCGCCCCGTAGGGCTACCGGCGGACCCTACCACCCGTAGGGGGGGGGGGGGGCGTTTCGGCCCCCCCCCCCCTAAGATCTCGGAAAGTTACCGGCCGATTTTCAAAATTCAAACGGCGTTTGATAGCCCTACCCGGGAACTACCTTGTGACCAAATTTCATTGACCTAGGTCAAACCGATGACGTCACAGGTCAGGTCAAAGGTCAGATTTTCACCGTTCACAGGCAATTCAAGAAATGTGCTGTGAAATCGAGTAAATTGGTAATTTATTGAAAACCGTCGATGGTATATTGTTCATCAAACACATACTTTGCTATCTGAGGTCACTGATACCAGGTCAGGTCACAGCGAGGTCAGGTCACCGGGGGTCACAATATGAATGTGTCGTGTGATACATGTTTTATGGTCCATTTTACATGACAAATGCGATTATGTGGGTTAGGCAGCCTTTGGGGCCAGCCTAGGTCACGTTTTGGTGAAGGTCAGGTCAAGGTCAGGTCAAATTAGGTCAAATTTCAAAGTTGATATTTTTGCATAAAATGGGTATCCATTCGATGCAGCTCGTCACGGGGAGTCTAATGGTGGTCTTTGTTTTGCTCTACGAGTTCTAGAATTGCCAAAAACTGAGTTTGAAAATTTGACGTCATCATTTTTGAACAGTTTTTTTCGCTATAACTTGGCCAAAAAACGAGGTATCGGTCTGAAATTTGGTATGTACCTAGATAGAAGACGGTAGGTACTATCACATATATTCCGGTTTTTTCGAAACTCAAAAAACTTTTTGGATTTTTTGGCTAATATATCAAAAAAAAAAATTGCTTTTTTGATTTTTGGGGATCAAAACTCAAAAATTTCAAAAATCCGAAATAGCAGTTTTGTAGCCCTGTCAATTCTACACCTTTTATGTCTTGATCATTTTTCTGTATCTTCAAAGCTGTAGGCCTGACAGGTCTTCTCGCGAAGGTCTTTTTTCGGTCGAAAATGACAGAACATGACGTCACTCTGACGTCATTTGTGGCCAACCTATCAC